TATATATACATGGATATAGATGGGGTGCTCGACATTGAACAATTCCGACGTTTGTTAAAGTTAGGCCTGGCCGATCAGCACGTAAATAGCCGGCACCGGATGTTTTCCAGCTATACATTATGTAGTAATAATAATATTGTCGAACAACACACGATACGAGGTGTTTAATTTGTCGCAAACTAGTCCTGTAAGAAATAAATGTTCACCAAATGGTCGAAACCGATCAAACTGAACTTGCTACGTACCTGCAATGAATCTGAATAGAACAAGGTATTGGATTAATTGTTGTAACCGGCTCTCCGTTGGACGGACTCATTAATCTATGAAAACATTCAGTAGACACTGTGGACACTTTACTTGTACTTGCTATTAATAACCGAACAGCTAACGACCCAGGGCTCGAGGCTGCATCGACTGGTGGCGCTTTCTTCTGTTAAGCGTTTGATTGATTGATTGATATTTTGAATTCATCATGCATATAAATGCAAAAGCTACACACAGTAAGTATAACTAACGATAGCTAGGAAACATAATATAAACAACGATTCTAAATATAACTATTATTAGAAGTTATATAGTGAAGTTACTATTAAGAATGGTTGTCTGTCAGGGTGGTGTAACGTGTGTAAAATATGGCGATTTATGCCAGAATAAGACAGCTTACATTATGCCACATTTAATATGCGCGCATATATTCATTGGTAAATATCGTTGTATTAGTATAGTAGGCTATTTGCGCGCGTAATTATGCATTTACTGAGTACCTTTGTGGTACAGGTAAATGTGGCATAGGTGAACTGTCATAGGTAAATGATGCGTGTGAAATGTAACAGACAACTTGTTTGCGAAATTCATCATCGCATGAATTGCAGCCACTAAGCTTCTACGAAGACCACAAAAACAAAACGTATACGATACACGTCCACTTGTGTAATTGAAATTACTTAGATTGCTTTTCTTTACAAAATCCACGTTATCTGTTAAAGGGACATGCATACTTACAGTTATAGGCCTATTAGTGATCGACTGTGACAGCTACAGTATTTGCACTGACGACGAAATAGGTCACCTTTCTCGTTAGCCCGTTGGCAATCGGCTTTAGATCCGAACTACAGGACGCTTTCGGACGACCATCCTATAGAATGTTGTATTGTCCATATGGTTCATTCGGAGTTTGACGAACCATCTCAGGTTATGAGCGAAAGTCAGAAACAGAAATTTTAAGTAGATTTGTCATATTTCTTCTAATGATCATGGATATTGATTGCATCACTACAAAGGCCTATGATACGCGAATGACAGATAGGAAGGAAGGTCAAAGACGTAGGCCTATGTTAGTATTTTTTTTTTACCGTTACCCTTTCTGTGTAAATTGGCCTTGCACCATCTGGCGCGTGAAGTTTGTTTAGCCTAGACGGATCATTATGTATAAACGTTTTAGTATAATAATTAATATTTAGTTCCAAGGTTAAAGTTGTCTGTTGACACTTATGCCTATCCTGCCAATCATGGTGAAATTATCACGTCCAAAGATAATCGACCGTTAATGATTCAATTACGTTCGAATGTAATTTAAAGATAACGAAGGCAGATAGTAATTACCCATATCGCCTCCAACTTATCACGTCACCTTAAACTGTCAGTGCCGTATATTCATGCCGTAATTTAAGGAAGAGAGTTATACTTAACTCTTACATTCTTTAATTGGTACAGCGCAGAGTCCTAATAATTGCGTGTGACGCGCCATTTGTGCGGAGTACGAGTGCGTTGTGTGTTGCCACATTATAAACTACAGTACAATTATCAATGAACAGTAACTACATATAACAGTGATAACACACTGCTTATTTATATGCAGCGCATCAAGTACTAGTGATGTTTGTGTACGCATGTGTAAGGGAGTGTTAAAGATCAGTTTCTTTTGATCGGATTTGAATTCCCAACGAAGCCCCAGTGACACGGTAGGTTAAGGGTTTATATCTCCATGGTACAGGCGTCTGTATAGACAGAAATAGGTCACGGGTTTGAATTCCGATTTGGGCAACTTTGTTTACAGCCCTCTTATTTAATGTTCAAATTTGTTATATGTACAAATACAAATCAGAGCACACAGAAAACATATTTATAATTATTTTTATTATAACAAAAAGAAAATATTTAATACTATAACATTATTAATTTTATTATCATTATCATTATCATTATTATTACTATTATTTTATTTGTTTTTATTTGTTTTTATTCTTTTTTATATTACAACATTATTATTATTATGTTATATTATTATTATTATTATTATTATTATTATTATTATTATTATTTGTGTTGCTTTGTAAGCTGTTACTAAATTAGTAAAAAGTAGGTCTACCAATCACCATTTTTGTTTACACTTTTTTTTTTTATAAGAACCAGTAAAATTTTGCCCAGGCTCAGTGTTCTTATTTTTCGGCCGATTTCAGACTCAAAATGTTCTTATTTTGTTCTTATTTTTACATACTTTTCAAATATAGAAAATCATATCGTACAGCAGTATACACACAGTACTGGAATGAAGTTAAAAGTGGCCCTGGAAAAATGGCAACTGAAAAAAAGGCCCCGAAAAAAGGCCCTGGTAAAAATGACTCCAAACGACTGGTAGGTAATACTGTACTGTATTATAGAGGGTATTACATAGTCGCCAGTCATAAGGTCAGATATGATTTTTTGTTTTTTGTTTTTTGTTTTTTTTTAGTTTTTTGAAATAAAAATATCATTTGGAATTTTACCTCAGCCTCAATTTGTTCTTATTTTGTTCTTAATTTTTAAGGAATTATAGCCTCAGTGTTCTTATAAAATGTGTTCTTATAAAAAAAAAAGTGTATTACATCGAAGTCGACAAAGGTTGATGCGAGTCAAGGTACATTATTATCTTGTTACATGGGTGGAGCGGAGGACATGATAAAGCTATCAATCTCTGTTCTAGTTATGTCAATCTGGTCTCGATAGGTCATTCACGAAGAAGACGGATTGGTGTGGAAATCCCCATTGTAATTCGCAACGGCCTTATGATAAATTACAATTCATATTTACCGATCTGTTAAGCAGACACGTAGCCTGGTCTATTTTTTAAGAAGAGTAGAAGAAACGTTTGATAAATTGCAGTTGTTTTTGTGTGATCAAATCATCTCAAACTCAACTTTAAATGCGTGTCTTAATGTGGGTATAATATGGTCTAATATATATGCCTATTTGGTAAACAAATTCCATGTGAAAATATTGAGTACAGGCGTGCATGCGCGATTGCTTAAACGACCCATTCCTATAATTACACGTAATAATATTTTGTTCTGTATTGTATGTGCGGCCCGCCAGACATCTTATGCTAGAAAACATCTTGTTTTTTTACGACCTAACACCGACCATCTCTAAAAAGTAGTATTAAACTGAGAATAAAGTGGTGTTAAAGCAGTGCATAAAGGTTTTTGGAGACACACTGGAAACATAAAAGTTTGGGTGCGGCCCTCCAACCAATTTCATGCACAGTACCCCCCCCCCCCCCGGTGTACCCAATTAGTGTGGACAGCTTTTGCTGTCCATACGAAACAAGTTTGCAGCAATAAAATGCCTATAAAATTCTTTTTAAGTTGTTCTGACTATTGTTTGCTTTCACTCCCAACCGGTTCAGGCCTCTTATCCTTGATGATTTTCATAAAGATTTTCTTGATTATTAAAAAAATATATATACACTAGGCCTTTTACTAAATTTCAAATTTTGACGAGGGTAGTCCCTTGCCTGTGGTACTATTGTATAAACAGTTTTAGATTGTTCTTTTTTTATTTATTTATTTATTTTTTTGTGAGTGGGGAGGAGGGTTACTTTTTCATTTTTAACTTTCATGTTTATGTAAAGTGCTTTAGTATATAAACTGTATATGGATGCGCTATTAACAATAGTAATATTATTACCAATATTTAGGCCCTATTAAGGTAAAAGTATACGAGAAAAATGGAATTTTATTGGGAAAAAATGTATGAATTGATTGCAAAAGAAATACATCAGCTCAGCTCTTGTACCATAGATGCTAATCTTATAACAAAGATGGTAAACGTCAGTCTGTGTCAAGTTTAAATGTTTTTTGAACAAAATTGTTAATTACTAATAGCCTATGTAGTTTTGTTTGTGTATATTGATTGGGAACTTCGTGTTTATCTTGATCTATAATTAAGTATTGATCTTAAAATTGGAATTTGGTAGGTCCTGCAAGACTGAAGGTTAGAAGTCTTGAAATTTCTTAACAGGAACAGAATCTTAGATTTTCCGTAAACAAGGCTCAGGTGGCCACGAAGGACACGCTATACAACACTACTGAAAACTACCACTGAATATGTTACTTATCAGAAGATATATACTGTAGTATGCGACTTTATGTTGACTGCTGTTGTAAAATAAACGTTTGTTTTTCGTTATTTGTTGCAGAAGTTGCAAACGGGAAAGGAGAGGAGAGAAGCTGAACTTTATAAGCACGAAGACCTCCGAGCTCTTGTGATGCATGGTCGATCGGTCGCGGATGCACTGACAAATGGACCACACAACTGAGAGGATACCTTCGCTTCTTAAAGCCAGGCTCCGGAGGAAAATTTTATTTTTATACCAAATCCAATTAAGCAGTCTACAAGCCTTGCAACATTAAAATTTAATCTTAAGTAGGCCTATTCTCTGTCAAATATCATCCTTTATTCTAATGACTGGTGAAGTGCTAAATGAATAATTCATTTGGATTCAATCAATCCAGTGGCGAATCCCCACTGGATTAATTGACAAAACCTGAAAGTAACCATCTTAACGATTAGTTTCAGAAATTGAATTGAAATTCTCTACTTTCGATGGCATCTGTATTTATAGGCTCTCTAGTGAACATTGTGCCAATAAAAAATGGCGTCAGTCTTAGTGTGCAATACCCACATAAAACATTCTGTTAGGCATTCACAATAAAAATCACTTTCAGGAACAGAAATTCCAGGAGAACTCTATAGCTATATTATCATCACCATGGCTTTCATCACAGTTTGGAGTTGGATTTATAAAGGAAAATTGAAATGATAGGGTCGTTTATAAGACTGCAGGGATAATTATTTATGTCACGTGTGCTAATGAAGGAATTCTTTTAGTGGATGGATATACCGTTTGATTATTAATCTTCAGAATTTTGATAAAGTTTAAGGCCAACATAAGGCAGGTGGGCATTTTGCACGACCACAAGTCAAAACCTTTTAACAGCTTATTACGCCAATGTCAAGATGATATCATCGAGGGATCAGCTGTGCTATTAATACTATCGACCGATTCTATTGCATTAATTGTTTCGTTCTCGCCAATGATTCCTTTACTCATTAATTTGTTAGTAGTTTGCGAGGTTAGGTAACGATCCTCATAATCTTTAAAGAGGTAATCGTTATGCATGTCCTGAAAAGTTGTCTTCCTTGAAGGACAAACACAATGATAACGATAAAATTTCGATTAGATTTATACCGGTGTTATTATCGATTATACGAATACAATAAAAAGGAGGAGAAAGAATAGATTACTGTTTTTCAGTTGATGTGCCCCGCTGCCTGCATTCGAATACCCGCATTCGAATCCCAAGGTCAACGGTTTTTCTACCGCCAATTCTCCTTTAATCTTCCCTAACATTTCATCATAATATTGCGATGTTTAAATACCGTATTTATTCGAATAAACATCCACTCAAAATAAACGCCCCCTCCAGAGCCAAATTTGGAATAAAACGCCTCCTTCGAATACATACTCTGCGGGATTTATTTTTTCTTTGAATAAATAATAATAATAATAAAGTTCTTAACCGTTCTGAATCAACAGAACAAGTGGCTGTCATTGACTACAAGTAGTTGACAAGCTTCAAAAGTGCAAAACAAAAGGAAGACCCTAGTGGGAAAAAATATGTTAGCTGACCTTATATTTCACTTTCCCGTTCCTTGTTTTTGTTTTCTATTTAGTATTAGCTAACCGTCTAATTACTTACTTATCTTCTCTTTTACTTTCATTCTATGCTTCCTTAACTTTCCGTGATTCCTATTTACCTACCTTTTCTTTCTTTAGTCTCCCCTTTCCTTTTAATTACCTTTTCTTTCATTTTCCCTTTCTTTCTAATGCCTCCTTATGCATTACTTCTTTAGCTTAAATTCCCTTATCTTTCTTCTTTTTCTTTGTTTCCTATGTAACCTTGATTTTTATTGTATTTACTTTATTTCTTTTCTTTCCTTTTCATTTCTTATGCTTTTTAATACATATCTCATTTTATTTTATCTTATCGTTTCTTTCATATCCTGATTCTTTCTTTCTTGTCCTTTTCTTTCTTTTTACCATTTCTTAGGTTGCTTTGAATAACTTTCATTTTCTTTCTTATAATTCGTTCTTTTCATTCCTTTTTCTTTCTTATATTTACTTTTCTTTCATTTTCTTTCTTTTGATTTTAGTTCTTTCTTTACTTTTCTTTTATTCTATTTTTTCTCACACCTTTCGTTGGTGTTCTTGAATATCCTTTCCTTTTCTTTCTTATGTTTCATTCTTTTCTTTCCCTTTTCTTTCTTATATTTTCTGTTCTTATCTTTCTTTCTTTATCCTTCCTTCCATATAATTAATTCCTTCTTCTTATTCTTTCCATTTCATTCTTATACCTTTTCATAGGTGTCCTTGAGTATCCTTTCATTTTCTTTCTTATGATTCGTTCTTTTCATTCCTTTTTTTCCTTATATTTACTTTTCTTTTCTTTCTTCTCGTTTTAGTTTTCTTTTCTTTTCTTTTCTTTCATTCTTTCTTTCTATTTTTTCTTTTACCCTATCATAGGGGTCCTTGAATAACCTTTTCTTTCTTATGTTTCGTTCTTTTCTTTCTTCTTTCTGTTCTTATCTTTTTTTTTATATATATAATTATTCCTTTCTTTTCCTTTCTGAGGACAATTCATATGTTTATTTGCCTTTCCTTTCTATTCTTTCCTTTCTTTACTATATTATTTTACTTTTCCTTAACTTGTCCTTTGCTTTTCTTTGCCTCTTTCTTTTCCTTTTTTTTTCTCTTTTCCACTTTCCTTACCTTTTTCCTTTCTTTCCAGTCATTTCATTTGAATTCCTTTTACCTTTTACCTTTACTTCTTTAAATGACTATAAACAAAACTAATGGAAGCCATATCATTCTCAACACATTCTATTAATGTTCTACTCCAGTACAATTACATTTTTTCTAACCTGGTTAGGATCAATACGTCTTTATGATCATGCGACAACACATTTTGATGGTAATTATGTCTTCTGGTTCCATATTTACAGTGATATTAAGGGGCATTTGAGTATATATGTATCAATTTTAAACAAAAAAAATGCCTCCCTTGAATAAACACCCCTCATAACCTTTCTCAACAATAAACGCCCTGGGGCGTTTATTGGAATAAATATGGTTACTTAAATTCTTCTATCCCTGATTGTAGTAGTGATGTGATATCCACCTTATGTTTAGGGATTCTCAAAAAAAAAAAAAAAAAAATCAACTTAATCGGAATTATTAATGATTGTTCCTAGGATAAATTAATGCAACAAAACAAGGAAATGGACTTTTAAGGTAAAGGCAAGCCATTCAAAAATCCTTTTTATGACCAATATTCTCACTTCACTTTCAGAAATTAAAACTTTGCTGTTAGTGAATATTGTTCGTAGTAGATTATGAGATTTGTTGCAGTGGCAGATACAGGAGTTTGAAATAGGGGGAGGTCTACACTACCTCAGTATGAACATTTATGGTTATGCCACCTCTAGACGGAAATGGCACTTTCAGACCTAAATTTAATTATAATTGTTTTCGTAATTTAAAAAAAATTTAGGGGTGGGGGAGGGGGCCTGGGCCGGCATGCACCCATCCCCCATTGAATCCACCACTGTTTGATATATGGATGCTCATCCCCATTAATATATCAAACGATTTGTGTAAATTTAACTTAATGATTTAAATTTGTTATTAAATTATACAATTTATAAAACATTTAGTCTTAGTGATATAGGCCTATCTATGTTTTCTGTAAGGTATTGTTACATATGTTTATGAAGTAAACAAAAAAGTTATCATTGAGTATTAGTTACAAACATTGTTTTATTATTCATACAAACTATACAAGGATAATTACATATAAACTGTGATGCTGGTTTAAGGTCACTTGGTTTATAAATTTAAATTTTCTCGTTTTCACCTTTCATGGTCAAGCAAATTGAGTTCCAATTCAAACGAAAAAACAGAATAAATTAATAACACAAATTGAATTTGTCTGGTAACTATTGCCATGGACATCAACATGATTTTACAAGATTAAACTCAATCGAAATATTTAATATCAGAAAAAAACCTCATTTAAATATTCTATGTAAAAGTAAACAAATTCACTTCTAACTTAACATCTATGCCACCAAGACAAGTACTTTGTTATGATATTAAATAATATATGAGGCTTGCCTTCTCAAAACTGGCATCAGTCGCCAAAAAATGAAAATTGACTTTGTAATATTTTCTTACTCTCATTGTAAGATTTAAAATGATGGGTCATTTACTGGAATTGACTTACTATTGCCAAAGTTATGAGTAAAAGTATTACAGCTTCTCTGTACTAAAGTATACAATGCTGGCACATTCTATGGTAATTACTCATTTTAGCAATTAACATGTCGACAAGGACGCGAAGCCCTTAGACAATGGTGGCTAGTCTTACCAAGTTGGCGAAGATTTTCTTTGCTATCAACCTTCTTTAAGAAAGAGATTTCAGGGTAGGCGGTATGCAAATGAATCATATATTCATAGTGCTAATCTATTTCATGGAACATGGCGGGGAAATTGTTGTAAAAGCCTCGGTATTTCGCTCCCAAAGGAAGAGGGAAAAGCCGCATTCAGTCAACCTTGTTGTCAGGCAAAGGCCAAGTCACTGATGCGCATTGCTCGTGTAAATCTGGGTATCTATAACCAAGCATAGACATCTAGGCCTAGGCTCACGTATGTTTCGCGTTTAAACCAGCTGTCTAAGGAAATTAAAATGTCCGAGATGATTAGTCGGTTTATCTGTCAATTAAATGTCCTCGAGATGTTAATTAGCAAGAGTACACAGGTTTAGGAATGTCAAGCCTCATATGGTGCAACGATTGTGGCTCGGACTCCCAACCTAGAGGTCAGAGGTTTAAAAAACACACGCTGTGCAAGTCACTTGTGTCCTTGGGCAAGACGTTGTATCCACGTGGTCTATCTCCTCCCAGGAGTATAAGTGGGCCAATAGCTAGTCTCAACTGCATTCCCCAGGCGTTTGCCAGTCTGCTGCTCACACTAGAGGGGTAGTTACTGTGGTTCATGCCCATAGCCTGAGCCAACTGCAATCTCTGCGATCTTAATTAAGTCAGCTTCTCCACTTGTGATGAAGTCAATAACGCTCATGCTGCTAACCAGCCTCAACTTCATTATTACACCAAATTTTACCAGTAAGCTTTCCCCACTAGTGAGGCAAATGCTCTGCTTCTAGTGGGTAAAGCCGACCTAACAACTAATGACTACAAAAGTGTAGGAGTATAATAACAGGAGGGGTAGAAACAGAGTTGAATGATTGGAAAGGTCCACCACAGCAGTTTAAGATGTGCAGCGTCAGTCATGAGCAGAGTAGTACGACACGTTAAGATATCAATTAAGGAATAAATTAAAGTCTGTCGAACGTATATCACCCGGATGGACGCAAGTAATCAGCTAGACTTTCTTAGCTCCATTCTGCTATAATCTTCATCAGTCAGTTGCCATGATGGCCGGGTACTCTGTGAGGCTGTTCTTGTTCACCTGCCATAACTGCATTCTTAGGCCTTTACCAGTCGGCTGCTCCACTAGCCAGATAGTCCTTGCGGCCTACACTACTAGCCTGCTTCGTCTGCATTGCCTCCAGCTTAGGACATTCTGTGATTCGATGACCCAAACCACCACAGAAGGAACATCCTCTTTCATCTAGGCAATAAACAAAATATTTAATTTTTTAATATGTAATTAATTAACAATAAAAAATAATTGTCTAACAAGAAATAAAAAACCTAGAATTTTTCATGATTCAAAACAAAATTTTTTTTCATTCATGATTCCTGTATTTTAATGTTTATGTATTTCGAAGTAGATTAGTGATTGTTGTAATGCCCACATTGCTAATAATTTACTGGTATATTCTGTACTACTATATGTAGTTTCATTATTTTCTGATCAATAAAAAGCTTGGAAACAAAAAATTTAACTTTCACTTACCATTACCATTATTATATACATGACATGAAAAGCAGGGGCCCCAAGTCTCTTGCAAATTGCAGGAGTCTGCCAGAAATCAATAAATCTCCCACACTCCCAAGAGCAAGTGAAAACCTCCCAGAAACTAACTTATCTTAAGCAAATTTCAGTTTATTTGCTACTTATTATTAATTGTCTCCCAGAAGTCAGCTGGTGATGGGTATCAACACGCACAGCAAAAATAAAATTAGAAGTGTTAAGAAAGCTGGTTTCTTCCAACTGGGAAAGGGATTTCACAGGCTGGAAACATTAATGTGTCCAACAAAAATATGACATGGCAGTGAATATCTGAACCAGAATTAATTGAAGAGATGAGAATATAATAATAATAATAATAATAATAATAATAATAATAATAATAGTGTAGTTTTATATAGCGCCATATCCATCTAACATAAGATGCTCAGGGCGCTTGATATGTGAACTAGGAAACTCTATCAGTGACTTTCTTCACCCCTAAGGGTCCCTTCGTGTCTGTGCTACCCAATAACCCGGTATAACAACTCTACAATATTATAATTAAGGTGAACAGCAACATTAACAGCCACAGTATTATAATTAAGGTGAAAGCATAAAAAAAACCCCTAGAACAACACACCTTACAATACATGTGTAATAACAATTTGAAAATATAACTTGTAAATAAATATGATTTATTATTCCACCGAGATATCCCTGCCCTACGTGCAATGATCCACATTGACTGCCTTTACTAAAAACAAAGTCCTTTTAAGATATCAGCATGGGCTCTAGTTTTTAACTCTCTTGTGGTGGACCTTCAGCTGGGCTTAGACTCGTGAGGTATCTCATATGAGTATGCAGGTGTTGCAAAGGCTGGGCCTTAGTCACTTGTTTACGGTATTGTCTATATCATTGTACAGGAGAGCTCGAATGTGGGTTGGGGTAAGATGTGACTAAGGAAATATGTGTATGATATAATTACACAAAACTGAGATAAATGTGATTTGTAATTTACCTCCAAGATTCAAGTACTCCTCATTGTCACCCTCCAGTGATAGTAAAACCATTGGAACTCTCTGCTTCGCCTCTACCAACAGATGTTTTAAATCCAACAGAACAGATTCATCTGGAAAATATAAACAAAAACCACATATTGTAAACCAATTCTCTATCATTATAAAACATTATTCACTTATTTATGTATTTTGGCAATTCTTACTTCAATGATGTTTTGTAGTCCATCTAGACGAAGCTAATCACTTGAGACCTTGAAAACACGCCAAGCAATATACAATGCAAAACCAATAAAGTTAATTATAAAAAACATTTCTAATGTTTATTATTATATATAGAGGCAGTGGCAGACTCAAGGGTGAAATGGTGGGGGGAGAAAAACCCAGACTGGCACCCCTCTTTCATAAAAAAAATGAAGAAAAAAAGAAAATTATATTCAAATTTCACCTAGAGGTGCCATAATCATAAATAAATAAATAAAAACCCATCCATGATGGGGATGAGGTAGTATTGACCCCCCCCCCCCCATCTGTGAAAGTCCTGTCTTGTTCCCTCTATTTTGAATTCCTGGACCTGCCACTGGGAGGTGATAAATAAGTCATATGTTATATTATGATTTAATGTGAAAACAAATAATGCTTCCTCTTGACTAGCTGCATGAATTGATTGCAAAGTAACAGCCTTGGGTGTAAGTACACTGCAGATTGTTTTTACATCACTTCAAGGTTACTAAAATTGATAAAAAAAGTAGTCCAAGATAGAAAACAAAAAAATATAAGGAACCTACATGTAATTTACAAATGGTTTAAATTTCTTTTTGTCAACTTTTACAACTCTTCCCTTCATTGGTGGGAGGGTGGTGAAATTCATGCATTCTCTTAGACATTTAGAATCCTTAAAATATTAGCAAAAAGAACATGAACGTCCTACTTCTGCAATAAATTAGCCAATTATCATTGCATGATTTATGCCGGAATGATGTTGTGTCACCACTTATTCTGGTCCCCTCCTACAGGGGGTAATATTGTTTTATCAAGAGGTTCACGGATGTTTGATCTAGCCTTTCCTCCATGTAATATGAGCTGATCCCTAGGGAAGGGGGTTCACAACATAGACATAAATATACTGAGTGTTCTGTTAGTGGTAGTTATGTACTATGAATTCTTCAATAGTACATTAAAATCTTTATTCCATGAGAATTAAAATGTTAAATCTAAAAATATCACTGTCTTACAACAACTACTGTCTGAAGACGTGGGAGTGTTGTTATATTAAAAATATTTTAGAGTGATTTAAAAACCAAATATAAGAACTTTATTAGCACATTGCTCTCAGCATTAGTAGCCATTTCCTGTTTAATCAACCTTTAAAATGGTATCACATTTATCAGTGCAAATAAATTACAAAATGGATTCTTAGTAAAGCTGATTAAAATTGTTAAATTAAAAAAAAAAATTATTGAGATGATTTCTTGTTATATGAAGGACTACATTGTCTATTACTATTAAAATAATGTTTGCTTTATATTCTTTTTATTGTATTTAATGTACCTTGTGTAATATAATGTAGTTATATTAATGCAAATTTTAAAAAAAATAATAATAATTTAGCCAAGAAAACATGTACTTGACATTTCTTCTGGAATGTCAATCAAACTATAAAATCAGAAAATGTTTTTGAATATGAACCAGGAATTTGATAATGGGAATTATCTCAGTATGCCTAATAGTCAATGCATATTTGACTCATTATCCAGTCCTTGGATAAAAGTTTATGTGATATGATCCCATAATTGAGCCTACTGTAGATGGTATTGCAATTTCAGTTAACCACTTAAAATAATTTGGTTACTTAAAACAATTAGTTTTGTATTGCTATATAGAAAAAGTTTTAAAGATTTATTTCTTGAGCTAATCAGGTTTAATTAATGCTAACAAGAAATTCACTACATTTATTTTACAAATTTATAAGAGATTAGTAGAGGTAAACTGATGCTAGTAGATCCAGAAGGCCTTGTGAAAAATGCAATTAAGCATAATAATAAATGCAAGGTTATGGTGGTGCCTCAACCTGAGGGCTGTTGAGTCAATACTCATCAAGTGAAGTCTAATTTTACAAGTTACATAAAGTTATTACAATACAATAATGCTAACTCCCAGGACTGCCCAATCCAATACAATTATCCATAAAAAAATTGCAAGTTAAACTAAAATCACCTGCAAAATGTTCATTCAAATGAATTACCATAGATTGTCAAGTTATTAAATAATAATAATAATAATAATAATAATAATAATAATAATAATAATAATAATAATAGACTTATATAGTGCCTTTCAACAAGCCCTCTATGTGCTTCACAATATCATTACACCGGTCATTGAATTACACGCCTATGGAACACAAACTCAACTCCTTGGTGAAGTAATCCATAAGGCAGATTAAAGCACACAATCAATTAATTTCTATCACAATTCAAAACTTTGGATGCACAAAATGTATATTTTTCATATAAAACAAAATGTGTGAAAACATTTTTGAATAATATGTACAAACAAATCAGCTATGATGTAATGCAAGTCTATTTAACCCTCACATATGCTAGTCTAATCATGACAACCATTTAAGAGTAAAACAATTCACAAATGCTAATTATCTTTTGCCTAATTATAAACATAGGCACTTACAACAACACTATACCTATAATAAAAAGAAAGTAAAAATATATTCTAATAATTAATTTACTAAGGATACAACCTAATTTTTCTTAACTATAGATCTCTAGGCTAAAAAGAGTTCCTTGATACACAAATGATTCATCAGTCTGAAAAAAAGTGATACATGGCTGCAGAGATTATGTTTTGATTTATGTGACTACAGTGGCATGTTCACTTACCACATCCTTTGTTGATGAATGTTGTTGCTATACCAGTCTGACCGCACCTTCCTGTTCGACCAATCCTATGCACTAATAAGAATGGAGATAAAGTTAGATGATAATTCAATTCAATTATATATCCTTTTGAACTTTAAGATACATATTTTAATTTGTCAAAAGGTGAACTAGCTGTCTGCAATTATCCTAGGATTTGTTGTGATGCCGCATTTAATAAATGTTTTATTTGCTCTATAAAAAGAAACTTGTTTTGTTAAACTAACTAAAAACATTCTGTCTTTCAATACACATGCAGCCTCTAGCAGTTACGCCTGACATAAGTGGTGAAAGTATAAGAGGATTTTTTAATGGTTTTATAGCCTTTTTTGCTGATCTATTATTTGTTATTATCTATTGTGATATAACTTACCATAATTTTCTATATCATCTGGCATATCATAATTAATGACATGTTGAATATTGGGGAAGTCCAAGCCTTTCGATGCTACATCAGTTGCCACGAGAACGTCTTTCTTAGTTTGACGAAATTGATCAATTGCACGAGTTCTCTCTTCTTGGTCTGGAGGAGAACAAACATTAGTCAAATTAAAAATAATGGACATTTTTGGGGGTTTTTAACTGCCTGTCAGAGAAAACACATGGGGACCAAACCCCAAAAAATATTTATTATAATAAAAAAAAAAATCACATGGTGCCCCACTTCACCATTTCCAAGGCCCTTAACTGTGATACCGCTGATTGTGGTACATATGTATGGAACATACAAAATTACTAAAAAAAAAAAAAGGCATATGAACTTTCATTGTTTAATAGGTAGATAAGACTATATATGACAGAGGTAAAGCCTTACAGACCCTGGATTCAACTTGCTCAAATCAGGCCTTAATAAGTATGTAAAAAAGAATCAAGGCCATGCTGTGTAAGCATAACTTGTTCATGGATTACCTTTGCCACCGTGAATCGCCACTGCTTCCACTCCTTTTAACAGCAGATATTCATGAATGTCGTCTACATCAGCTTTCTTCTCGGCGAATATCAGAACCTGAATCGAGAAGAGGCATTTGTCAACAACACATACAAAACGTTCAAACTCATGCAATATGTGCTAAACTGGGAAATATTAAAATTTTTTTTTTTCAGAGATCTTAAATGGCTGTGTCTATGTTAATGGCATGGGCCATAAAAGTGCTTTCACATTCTAAGAGAAATTTTTAATATAGGCATTGGATTCATTTTATGGTTTATGGCTAATCATTACACACACCCTGAATAGTTGCTGGTATAATGGTAAATACTGCAAAAAGAGCCATTACTTTTGTATGTACATATATATGCCCTTTCTAAACACCATAAAAGAACGTTCGTTCACCATACACAAATAGTCATACCCAATATTCTTTAAAAAATTCATAATTTAAAAAAAAATGACCATAAATTTTCTAGATTTGGGGTTGGTCAAGCTTGTGTACCATCAAGTTTTCTTTTCTTGTAGCCTTATGAATGATTTGAGTTGCTTCAATTTGGAAATAAAATGCTGGTAATTTACAAGAGTCGAACCCAGGGCCATGGGAATTGAAAAACAATTATTTTAACCACTAAGCTAGAGCTTAAAATGGTATCTTACAGGAGGCGGAGTCTTCTGCAAACATTCCAGAATGTACACCATCTTAGCTTCCTGTTTCACATATTCCACTTCCTGGATGACGTCAAGACTCGCAGCACCCGCCCGACCAACATTCACTGTTACTGGAAAAACGAGGGCACTCTTTGCAAAGTTTTGAATCTTTTTGGGCATAGTAGCACTGAAGAGTAAGGTCTGTCGTTGACTCTAAAGACATAGAACGAAACATCATTTACAACTGCTGTTTTATATAATTCTGAATAGTACCTACAATTATTTCAGTCACAAACAACTAAAAGTAACTTGTTACAAGATATAAATATATGTGATACTCTTCATTAATTACTTCTATCAATTATTTTTTATTTTGATTAATTGGAATTATTATAAGCAAATATTATCCATGAATTTGTAGGATATGAACCCTTGACTCTGAAAGTAGAAGGCATGCACCATAACCAACAAGTAATAGCTACTTATGATGAATCATTTTGACATGCATTAATTCAACTACCATAAATGTGTTGAGGCTTTCTTGCATTAGGCAATTTATGGATACATTAATAATACCATTTAATAATCAAATTAAATTAAGAATTTAATACATCTAAAAATCGTGTAACATTTTTTTCATTATGCATATTTATGCCTAGTCTATTACACTTCCACAGGCTTTCCAATAATACCATTTGTGGTAAAGACAAGCCAAACAAGTCACTCCGGCAAAAATTGATTTTTAATATTATTAGTACAGGGTTAAGTAATAAAATGAAAGTTATAAAATGGTAAAAGAATCATTTAAATCCAACATTTCATTATGAAGTTGAAGGAGTTTAAACATACAGCTGTTTAAGGAACAGTATCTGAGAAATCAGCCTTCAAAGTTTATGATTTCAGAGATTTCTCATGCGGAGAACATCACCAAAAATTTGGTTTTGCGAAATGGAATAGATTTTAAAAATGTTGACATTCCAACATGTTTTGGCTGTTACCTCTGAAACATGGTTTGTGAGGAGTGACTGGTTGGCTTGTTTTTGCTACATTTATTATTCCAAACCTATGTATAACAATATAAAATTCACAAAAATCACCTGAGATAAATTTCAATTTCAATTTTGTTAGCAACAACTGGAAAAATTAAGTATCATTTTCACTGACCTTGAAGTAAGTGAGGATTGTCCTGATGTCCTCCTCAAATCCTAGATCAATCATTCGATCAGCCTCATCCAAACACAGATAGCGACACACACATAAAGAAAAACACTTCTTATTCAACATGTCCATCAGTCTACCAGGTGTGGCGACCACAATATGAACACCTCTATGAAAGAAACAATAATAGCATAATAACTTTTACTACAATAAGTGTGTCCACACCTGTCAATGGGCTGAATAAAAGTTGAGTTGCCAATGCCTAACTTAGCAAAATATTGAAGGTAAACTTTTAAAGGGCATAGTTAATTATAGGGCCTTATTCTGTGAGTTTCAAAACCTTTCCATTGCTCATATCAGTGGCCTAGCTAAAAATATTAAGAGCAGGCACCCTTGAGAGACAATTCTTAACCCACAGCTAGTTATTTACGAAAAGTGTAAGCAATGTCATAAAAAAAATGCTAAAATTTGCAGGATTTTAACTCATGACTCCAGGATGAAAGGAGAGCATCAAAACCATCAAGTTATAACCCATTATAATTGTTAGAACTCGAACCAACACATACTTGCGTACAATCTCCATCTGTTCTTTCACAGAGACTCCACCAATACAGAGCATCGTCTTGACAGTTGGTAAACCATCAGCTTCAAGACACTTCACAAAATGCTGAATACCTTCGTAGGTCTGTCTTGCCAACTCTCTCTAAAGGGAGAGAAAAATTTCTAGTCCATCATGTGTCTCAGAATATCATCATCCTCCACCATTATAAAAATTATTATCATCATGATGATCATTATCCAAATCACCATTAAAATCATCATCATGATCATCATCATATCAAAATCATTATCTTGATCATCATTAAAATCATTATGATTATATCAAAATCATTAATCATAATCATCACTATTTTCAAGTCAATAATTAACTACAAAGTTTATAGAACTGTTTAACCTTACGGATAGACAGATGATCATCATCAAAATCTTTATCATGATCATGTCAAAATCATTATCATGTCCATATCAAAATCATTATCATGATCATCATTATCTTCAAGTCAATAATAAACTAAAAAAACAATGAGCATAGCAATGTTAAAGCTTACAGATGGACAGATGATCAAGCCATAAGGTCCCTCATTCTTTACAAAAGGCATCCTCTTCTCCTGCTCAATACAAAACATCAGAATTGGCAACGTAAAAACTAACGTCTTGCCAGACCCAGTGAATGCGATCCCTATCATATCACGGCCCGACAGACTAATGAATCAATTAAAAACAGATATGTAAAGATTTAAAAAATCAGATCAAGAAATCATATCAAGAACATATGCCCAGGTACTACCAGACTACATATAAAATACTGCATAAAATATAATTCATAGAGATCATGTAAAACACTTAAGTCTGGAAATACATTATTATTAAATACTTACACAACTGGTATTCCTTGTGTTTGTATAGGTGTAGGGTGAGTTATTCCTTTCTTCTTCAGACCATATATAATTCCTTTGGGAAATTTCATTTCCTAGCAAAAAAGCAAAATAGCAAAATGTGGATTGAATTGATCTGTGATGCTCAGGCCTGATAATAATGCTACTAGACAATAATTTTTTACTTATCTTATGAAATGCTTCACTGACAAATGAAAATATCAGAAACGTTTTTCTTAAATTCAGTGACATATCTGGTCCCCTAAAAAATCATGCACACCCACACCCCCTACTCATTCAAAATGAAAAAAATCATGCTCTAGTAGATAAAAAAAAATATCACCTCATATCCACATATTTGGCAAGCCCTGCTAGTGCCACTCACTTAATCATTGAGCTCCCCCCTCCCCACTTCAACTTTGCATCACTTCACAAGCCCCCTCCCTTACAAGACATGTCACTGCATACCTTAAAGCTTTTGATTGGTGGTGCAACATCTTCCCCTTCTACCAGAATGTGCCACTTTTTTCGCACCCTTTCATGCCGCGCCTCTGTCATGTTCCTAATGTAGCGAGGTGGTTTCCAACTGTGGGGGAAGACATTCTAAAACATGATTTACTTTAATATTTCTTAATTTCAGTACTTTGTTCAAAATTTTGTAGAATTAATTTTTTTTAAAAACAGTAAAAATATTACAATTAAATTGATGAATGAAATATAATATTCTATAAATTAAATTGTATTATAATTAATACATGCTTTTAATCTATGTATAGCTACTTTTCATGTGTTGTTTTCACAAGGAAATTCAATTTTGAAAGTTTGAAAATATTAAAATATTGTCCACTGGAGATAACACTATTTAGTGATTGCTTGGTTTAATAGTTAAATAATTGGACAATTGATTAATTACTCGCTTGATTGATTGGTTGATTGATTGAATTACAGATTGGCTTACCCAGTTTTGATTGGATCTGTATAGGTCGTTCCAGTGGCTAATTCTCGCACAGTTTTCAAGGCTCTTTGTTCTTGGACACTTTGTAATAGCTGTTGTTCTTTCTCTAGTTGCTTGTCTCGTTCTGTTAATTTAATGCCTTTTGATACAAATAATAATAATAATATTTTAGAATTTATATAACGCTCTTTAATGTCTCACAGCGTTTTTCCTGGTCATTGGATAAAGAATTATTCACACACCACATGCAACCTCCTCCATTCCCTGGGGAGTATTCCTAGTTATGGGGGAAAAAAATGTCAGTTGTATCCACATCTTCTTACACCTTCTCATCCTCAGGTCATTAACAGTGATAGATACAAGGGGGCCCAGCCAGCCAGGTCCCATCGCTCCCCCTAAATTTTTCAACATTATAAGAAAAATGGAGAAAAAAAGTATGTTATATCAATATTTAAGTCTGAGACTGGCATTTCCAGCCATCTACAGGTAGAGGTTCAACCATCATAAATTCTCTTCATGGTTGGGGCTGAGTTGGGGTTGTCCAGTCCCTCCATCTTTGAAAGTCCCCCTCTATCTTAAATTCCTGGACCTGCCACTGATTAAAACAATTAACATCCTCCTTTAATTTTAGTCATCATCACCATCATCAACAATAGTAGCACTTGTGGATCAGACAGAAAAAAAAAAAAAAAAAGACGACATCATAATTACATAATCGCCTCATTCTCTTCTTCACACTATTATTGTCACAAATACATCATTATCATGTCTTCGAATATATCAAAACTGACAAAAAATCCAAGGCTATGTTACCCTCAGATCTAGATTTTTGTATCACTCACATGGGTGAAACAACCTAATTGGAATGATCAAGGCAAACAGGTTACTTGTAGCCAAAAAGCACATAGTTGCCCATGAATGCCGGTGGAGGACTCACTTTCAGCCTGCTTCTTGAGTTCTGCATGCTGATCCATCAGGCTCATCTTGGCTAGTGGACCCTCTTTTGCCTCATCTCGCCCTTCCTGCTCAGCATCAGCTACCATTTCTTCCGACTCTTTTATGCTCCTCTTATTCAAGTATTTATTTGCCTTTTCAAACTATTACGGTGAATAAAAATAATTGACACATGTAATATTTTCTATTTATTTATCATATTAATATATACATACAATATTTAATAACTGTATAAACTAACTAACTAACTGTATATTTATAACTGTATAACTGTGTTATTTATTAACTGTATTTTATTACATTTCTTTATTATTTTTATACACTGTATACTACTTATACAACTCCTTAAAAAATCAAATATTGGCAAAGGTTAAATAGTTGGTATGGAGAGTTTAATGTTTATATTTAAAACTCTTACAATAAATATTCTGCTACTGTAGATCAGAACAACACCTAAACAACCACAAAAACTACAACAGTAAAAACAAAGTATTGACTTTTAAAAAAAATGGTACCTGCTGTCGCCTTCTCTCTTTTAATGGCACGTATGGAACATAGTCCTCTTCATCTTCTGAATTTCTCTCATTTTTATGTTTCTAAACAAATTAAATTAAAAAATTATACATAATATAGATAAGAATGGAATATACGAATCAATGCTGTTGTGTAGCACTGCAGATACACATTCAAGTATTTGATAAAAACAAGTGTTCAATTAAATAAGAACTACCGGAATGAATTTTCATGTAAAGATTGTAATGGGCATAGCCTATCAAGGAAAATGTACATTATCAATGTGACTATCGGCAGTTGAGAGAGCAATATCATGGCACCGTTATTTCTGCAGCAAAGTGACTGTCTGCACTGCCTTCTATTGTTTTTACTGCAGAGGTCGTATTTATTTTTTCTCTATCACCCAAAAATACTGATGACGTAGTTCACATTATCCTCTTCGACCTTGTCATCATCATCAAAAAAACAATTTTATCCCTCTTAGCGAAGTGAGTGAATTTATTGCCGAAAGTTTTACGGTAGTTGACAAAAACATTAAATTATTTTAAAGATAAGTTGATTTTTTCTTGAGCCAGTTTATTTTGATAGTTCAATGGGTTTAACACTTAGTTAATTTGAACACCAAAACCTAGTTCTGGGAAAAAAACCAAAAATGTGTTGTGAATCCTAAAATCTGTTCATGTGGTGCAGGCTGATAAGTCTTACTTATGTTTAGTCTTACTTCTTTAGTCTTACATGTAGGGCACACCCGCTAGAGACACCACTGCTTAAATTGTTTTTCTTGTATTTTTTCAAATCTTTTTCATTCACTGAGGTATGTCTAAAAACTTTAAAGAAATTATGGTATACTGGTATTTGGTATCTAGTTATTTGTAATTAATCAAATTATTATCTAATTAATAAAAGATTAAATTTTAATGAGTTTCACATTTTGTTTTCGTCCTTGTATGTTTTCAAATGTTTTCTATTTTATTGAGATATGTCTAAAAACAAAGAAGTAACAGTGTATTTTTACATTTTTTCAAGAAAAAGGTCTCAAACTTTTCCATTGTTTATATTGGTTTTTAAGGACCAAAATCAGGCATATGTATTCGATAATTTTGTAAGTTCTGTAAATTTGTTAATACTTGACGGAAGAAAATGATCTTGGTATCAATTTAATGCTATTTTAATGCACTTTTAAATGGTAGAGCAAAGGAATTCCTTGTTTTAGAAATTGTCTGTCATATACCAAATCAATTGATTGAAAAATTGCCCCTGGGAGGAACTGAACAAGTGATATCTTGTTGTCAAGGCAAGTGTCGTCATATATACTACAAATATATAACCCAATAACATAATTTAGCCGGTAACAATTTCAAAAACAGAAATAAAATGATTGCTATATAGGCCCTAGGGCCTAGGCCTGGCCAGGCCCTAGCTAGACTAAGGCCTAGGCCCTAGGTCCCCTACCCCCAAATTTGTTTTGAAAAAATAGTGGAGGCCGAGGGCTACTCTAGGTAGGCCTAGGTCCATGCCTAGCCTACTCGACTAGGTCCTTGGACTTGGCCGGGTGACAGATCGTCTGTAGGCTAGGCCTAGGCCTAATTAATTCCGTAGGCGCTAAGCCTGACTGAGGCCGGTAGGCAAGGCTTCCTAGCCATCTATTTAGCTATCCTACACAGAACATATACAGTATTTCAATTTACCTACCTTTGAATATCTAGAATGACTACCAGCGTTGTCTTTTCGTTTAGACATACTACGCAACGTTGTTAATCCCTTTTTCTTCAGCACAATCGTCAATATAAAACGCACCGTGTATGTACACCGTTATGGAACGCCGTTAGTATCTTCAGTTATGTGCAAACCATAGAGCTATTAAACAACTAGAGTGCTGACAAGATGGCGCAGCAATGCAGAGTTATGTATGTGTACCATCCAAGATGGCCGTCGTAGTAAAGCGCCACCTTCAGGCTTAGTATACATATTATTACATATTAATAAGCTCTCTGCCTGACTATTATTTCATTAATGATAATGAGTAATGGTAATAACAAATTATTAAACTATTGTAGCCAAAACTAGGCCAAGTGAAGCATCTTATTCAAAAATAAAGTACCAAGGAATGAAAATTAAAATCGTATACATTACACCCAAACACCGCAACGCTCGAGTTTCAAACATACAGGTAACTAGCTGTACTGAACTTTCATGTGTATAAGAGACAGGCAAACGATGGAGCTTAGCGAAATTTGATTGGCTAAATCTATGGTAGCCATCTTGGATGGTACACACACACAGTTCTGCGTATTTCGAACATCGAATACATTGCGGTTAGCGCTCTAGTATTCTTATTATACCTCTATGGTGCAAACACTCTATTTCGTCCACCGGAAATACGAATTTGACTGGACAGAATTGCAACAAAACGTTTTATGATCTAAATATAAACTTAATTATATGTAAAACAAATGTTTACCAAAATAGGACGTACATAAAGGTGTTTTTTTTTTTATAACCAAAAGTTCAGCACTATTCATTATCCACCATCAACTAAACTGCCTTTTATTCTATTAATCACCAACTACTTATGTTCAGACTTAAATTTGCGGGTGTTAATGGGGAAATGTTTAATACTTTAAATTGTATGTATTCAAAATTAATTGCATAATGTTAAATTACAAAATAAATTAACTCAGTCTTTTAAATGTGAAATTGGCTTACAGCAAGGATCTCCTCTGTCCTCATTCTTAATTAATTTTGTTTATTATTTTTCATGTTCATGTATATTTTAATGTTTATTATTCTTCAGTTATTGGTTTACAACGTCTCCTAAACAAACTTGCTTTATTTTGTGATAATTCGTGCCTATTAGTAAATATTAATAAAACAAAATCCTTAGTTTTTAAAAGAGGAGGAATTTTGAAAAAATCAGAAAAAATTCTTTTATAAAAATACTGAAGTCGAAACAGTCCACACATTCAAATATTTAGGAATCATGTTTAGCTCTTCTGGGTCATGGAATAAAGCTTTGGAAAACAACAGCATACAAGCAAAAAGGGCATTGTTTTCTTTGAAACTAATTTTACATAGATATGGAACACTCCCAATTAATATTTTAAACAAATTTTTTGATACTAAAATTCTACCTATACTATTGTATGGAAGTGAAATCTGGGGAATATTCAATAATATTGATATTATTGAGCAAACACACCTGTTATTTATCAGATATATACTTGGGGTTAGGAAAACTGCTCCAAAACATGCTATTATGGTCGAAGTAGGAAGATTTCCTTTAAAGCCCCATTCCCGGCAAAATTTCATTTGTTAAGAAAAATCTAATTTTTGTATAATGTTATAAAGATTTATAAATATAATACGGAATTGCTGGTTTAACGGAATTTAGACATTCCTAAGAATGAAAAAAATGTGAAATAAGACTGAAATTTGATTTTTTTTGTGTTCCACACAAAAAATAAATGCGGATGAATTTTCATGTTTGATTTTGCGATAGGTCGTGAGAAGAAATAAATAAATGAGAATAAAAGGCGCCGAAATCATTAGCCTATCCAACGCTGCTAGGCTAGGCCTAGCCTTACCTCAATTTAGGTTCTGTTATCACACATAAAAACAGCCGACATATTTTCCGTTGCTAGTAATGACACTTGTGAAATATAATATTTCATAGGAATTATTTCAAATTTGTTAAAAAACTGATTCTGACTGAGATATAAAAACGGCCGACATATTTTCCGTTGCTATTAATGACACTTGTGAAATATAATATTTCATAGGAATTATTTCAAATTTGTTAAAAAACTGATTCTGACTGAGATTTTGACACTTAAACAAACATATCTCAGCCTTAATCGAACGACCGCATTGTGCGAGATGCGAACTACAAAAACTAATCTCATTAGAGAGGGCGCACTTTATTGACTGTATAAAGTATACATAAAAGCGAGAGTGTTCCAGTGGATGCGATCTACAACCTCTGAATTTGCCTAGTAACGATGAATTCGTCGAGAAAATGGTAATATTTTAAGGGAAATAGTCTGTATTTCCCTTTTTTTTAAATTCTTTTGAATAACCTAAAATTCATGCCAATATTTTTCCATGATTTATAATAATTGGAGTAATGCAAATGCATATTTTCTATAAAAAAAAAATCAGTTTTTAGTGAAATTTTGCCGGGAATGGGCTTTAAGCTTATCATGTTCTATTAATGCTATAAAGTTTTGGTTACGTTTAATTAATGAAATTGATCCGAACAGTATATTAGCACAATGTTATTCTTTTCAATTAAGACAAACGGAAAGAAATGAAATTTGTTGGACACATTATGTTAAAAATATTTTTAATTCAATTGGCTTTGGTAATGTTTGGCTTTCTCAAAATGTCCTTCATAAAACATCATTATTTACAATCTTCAGTTACGCATAAGACATAGAACGTCAAATTATCATTGAAAACATAAATTCTTCCTCAAGACTTAAATATTTTTCTTCTTTTAAAACTAACATATATTGCGAGAATTATCTATTGTTAGTTCTTAATTTTAAAAAGAGAAGCCTGTTTTCTAGACTAAGACTAGGAATTCTTGACCTTGAAATTGAAAAAGGAAGATGGTCAAACACACAAAAAGAAGAACGAATCTGTAAATTATGCAATTTAACAAAGGTTGAAGACAAATTTCATTTTATTTTAATTTGTCCACTATATAAACATTTAAGAAACCGTTTAATACCCAATTATTATTTATCACATCCTAATGATTTTAAGTTTAAGAAACTAATGTCAACAAAGAAACAATCAGTTTTGTTTAAATTAACTCATTTTGTACAATTAGCATATAAGATAAGAAAACAAAATATATAATATGCAGCAGATTTATGTATTTTTGGGCCAATGGCCTTTATATACTGAATAAACTACATTGACATTGACATTGACTATATTCATTACAATTTACCTATTACCTATTTCCCAAACGCTGCAAGTAAAAAAACAACAAACAAGCCCTTACGTATACAATGCACTACTTTTTTGAAATCACATTTCTAAAGCAATAAAATATCATCACGCACATTTGTGTTTGTTTGTTTTCCTGATGATGACATAATTAATGTCGAAATATTGAATCCCAACACGATGGCGTGTATTTCAATACTTGGAGTATGTATTATACTTTCTTATTTGTGTTTGTGGTATTAAAGTTGGTTGAACTATTATTGTGTACGTTTTTAAACACTTCATAACATCATGAATACATTTTAGATTCAATTCACTGCAAGTAGGTCGATGACTGTTCTATTAATGAATGGTAAATGTTATTTTCGTGATTATAGACAGTACCTGGATTTGCCTATATGTATTTTGCCCAACCTGTCGTGAAAATATATTGAATACTCAGTACTGATTCAATGTACATTTTTTAATCACATTTCTAAATGAATAAAATATCGTCACGCACATTTGTATTTCTGTTATTTTGAAGTTGGTTCAACTACTGTGTACCTGGATTTACGTTAGGGGGCTTTTATGTGCAATTTTGCCCAACCTGTCGTGAAAATGTACTGAATATTTCATGCGTGTAAAAACACTTGCAAAAAATGCTCAGGCCTATAATACTTACTACTATTATTGAATGGTAATTGTTATTATCGTGATGGAATAAACAATCAAGGGCGTCGATCCGTGGTTGAAAGTGGGGGGGGGGGGTTGGGAACGAAATGAAAAATAAAGTCTTGGTTGGGTACCAGGGGGCGAAGTCCCCGAGAAGCTCTGGCGCCTATAGCCTTTCAATTGATTTTAAGCAATGCAATTAACATTTATTTCCATACGAAATTTTTAAAATATCCAGTGGCGGATCCAGTAATTTGAAATAGAGCTGGGCCCAGAGAGGGACCTTTACAGATGGAGTGTAGACGACCTCAGCCCCACCATGGTTGGGGCTGAGGTAAGAAAATTTATGATTATGGCACCTCTAGTTGGTCGGAAATGGCACTCTCAAATTTTGAATATAATTTTCATTTTTCTCCACTTTTAAATTTCGAAAAAAAAAGGGGGGATGGTGGGCCGGCTGGGCCCCTTGAATCTGCCACTGAAATACTCATCATAAAAAGTTTTAAAAATTAAAATTATCCTTTTTTCATAATTATGCCCGCTTATATATTTCGTGCAAACTAACATTCATAAAAATAATGATTTATTTACTACAGTACTGATTAGCTTGTGACGTATTCAAAATTCGAACCATAAAAAACAAATAAGATAAACTTAAAACAGTGATTAATTTAGTCTTTTTGCATGTACACTACTTTTAAAATCAATCAAGAGATTTTTGCTTTTCTTCCCTTTTTGAATTTCACACTTTTGTATTAGTAATATTACGACTACACTATTGTGAGTGGAAATAATATCAGTCTATTGTACAAATAAAGTGAAAACACCTCGACCAGACCAAATAACGTAAAATTATCAGCCATATGTATTGCTCCAAAAGCTCTAAAAAATACATTTTTTTCTTGCAACATTTTCAACCAAGTTTAAGAGCGAGAATAGCCTAGCAAAAGTGTTTCACATTAGACATTAGATGTTTTAGGTCATATTTTGTCTTTCCACAGTCGTATCTCAGCAAATACTTGTCGGATTTTTGTATTGCTTTCTGTATTTGGAAGGCAATCCTTTTCTGATTGCTTTAGTAATTGTTTCAATTGTATAGCTTGAAAAAGTCACCGTCATTTTCCACTTTTCGATTGGTGCTATGCTGACCGCCCACCGCGTAGAGGCTGCATTTTTACCTTTAGTGACTTCGTTGGCTTTAAATTGCCATTTCGGCTGTTCACCAATCAAATATCTTGTTGTTCACCCCCCCCCCCCCCGCCCAGTAAACGGAAAGCTGAATATTCATAGATTCTTCTCACACAAAATATATGGATTCCCATTGAATGAAAAAAAAAATCACCATAAAAAAACACTAATTTCAATATGAATCGAATGAACTCCTGTCTTGAATTATGCCAGCAAAAAAAAAAAAAAAAAAAAAAAAAAAAAAAAATTGGTTCGTGTGG